AAAAGAGAAATCCGAAGTTAAAAAAAACCGTGATGCTGCTATCCACATACCAATCTTCAGTTTGCTTTTCTAACTGAGTATCATTGTACCTGTCCCCACTATCAACAGAAGCAAGTATGCATCTAAGGTGAAGGTAGAAATATAGATTTGCTAAGTTAAAAGGCACGGGATGTAAACATTTGTAATAGAGGAACATTGTCCCCAAATCCTCCCACCAGCAGTGTTTGGCCCTTACTTTTACCAATATGACATTATCAATCTTTTCCACCTCTAATAATCAGATGGGTTAAAAACAAACGGGATTTCAATGTTCCAATTTGCATTTCCCAGATGGTGGTGTAAGCACTTAAAATAGTTTTTAATTTTCTTTTTTTAATTTCCTACGTAAGTCGAGAGTTGTAGGACGAGTGTTTAGGAATACCAGGTGGGTGAGTTGGCCAAGGATGGTGTTCGGCTCTCACACTGTTTTCAGTTTCTAATTTTATCAAGTTGTAATCAGCTAGTGTGATCTCTGCTTTTTGGAATTTGATGAGCTACTTCTTGGTCAGATTTTTGTAACTGTTCCATGTGTGCTTAAAGTATATTCTTTGTTGACTAGATACAAATCTCAGCACAAATCAGATTTGGTTCATTGTGTTATTAAAACCCTCAATCCTCACATATTGTTAGTCTTCTTGACCTGGCAATTTCTGGGAGAACTAAGACAAAAATATCCTTCTGTGGTATGAATTTTCAATTTTTCTTTGTATTTCTATTATTTGGCACTTTCAATAGTTCCATGTTATGCTGTTAAGTGCATAAAGGTTGGTGAATGTTGTATCTTCTCAGTAGCTTTTTCATCAATGTGAAAGAGTCCCCTGTATTCCTTTCAAATTTTTTTTGTCTTACATGATAATTTTTCTGACAGTAATATTGTTCACATTACTTCCCTTTTATTAGGTCTCTCCTGGAACATCTTTCTTTTCCAGCTGACCGACGAGGTCCTTTTGAGTACACGAGCTTGCAGTGTCCCCACCTATCACATCTGTTCTTTGACGTCATCATTTTGGACTGTGGTTTTCTCATCAGCCTCATAATCCTACCTGCCTTCTGTTTTTCAGAGATTCTTAGTTACCCCTTCTCTGTCCAGCAGCATGCCTCATTTTCTAGCACTACTATAAATTAAAACGTGGGTGGCCATGTGTGTGTTTTCTGTCATTTAAGGCAAGAAGAAGAGATGACATTAAATGTTCAGGCTGCCATCTTGATCTGACTCTCTGCTTTCCCTCACACCGGATTTCCTGCCTCACCCCGACTCCAAAGCACTCCTTGCCCTTCCTTCCAGCTCGGTCGATTTGGATATGGAAGGTGCAGTGAGAGATGCACTGAAGGACAGAGTTTGCGAATATGTTTAATCAGCATGCACCCATCGAAAAACTACTTTGATTACTACCTCTTTATGGCCTAAAAGTTGATTCAACTTGAGTTCCACTGGCATGCATTATTCAGTAACACTTTACTCAGCTCTGTGTTATCCTCTTCCCATCTCATTTCCAGAAAAGTCTGTTTAATAAACAGTCCATTTTAGACAGCACTGCTAGTAACATCAAGATATTGCCATTCTTCTGGGTGGTTTGTTGGCAATATGTATAATATCCCAGTTTCTTCCAAGGGAGAAACATGTTTAAAGGCTACTAACTAGACAATTGACAAGGCCAAGAACAAACTAACTGCAACAGAACTCTTAGAGATTTTTTTTTTTTTGCCATTCAAGGTAACATTTAGAATGTACTATTCTTAAAGTCAGGGAAAAAAACCTCTACAATTATTTATAAAGGACTTGTACTTTGTTTGCTTTCTTATCTTATTTAAAATATTCTCACTTCATTTTCTATGCTTTATCTTTGTACATCAAATACAGTTTATTTTCATTTATAGGTCATCAAATTCCAACCACACGATTTCAGACTAAAAAGGGTTTGAGAGTTAATTAGGTTATTCCCAACATCTGATGTTTGAGAGCTTTTGTGACATGCTCGGGTTCATATATTGACCTTGTGACAGAGCTGGCACCAGAATGTGGGTCGCCTGACCCCAGAACACTGTTTATACATCAATTTTACGTTTACAAAAGATTTTAAAAATCCTATCTCATCTGCAAAGCACTAAAAGACTCCTGGAAAGAAACCCGATGGCAAGCATGAATAATCTCAATTTTCATAGGAGGGAACACTGAGCAGAAAGGATGGATTAATGAGTTGCTTAAAATAATCCACGTGAGAAGTTGTCAGAGAGACAACCTGAGGTCTTCACTACCAGGCCTCCGTGTCTAACAGCCTCTCCACCTCCTCAGCACACAACTCCATTTCCTAAAAGGATAGAAGTGCCTTCTCAAGGAAATTTTTCATGGTTTAACCCCCTAAAGGACCACAAAATATAGATTCATTTTTAAACTGTTAAAATGTAAGTGTCTTCTTGTTTTGTGGTGACCTTAAGAAAAAGCCCCAGCTAAGGCAGGACCAGGTAATCCATTGTAAATTGGAGATGGATTCACCTATAATCCTGGATAAAGTAAAAAGATGAATCACAATGTTGTTTTAAATTCCTTCCAGCTCTTTGTTTATTGTTTCCTCCTGAGTGAAATTCCATTTACTCATTAATCCACCCCTCCTCCCCAGCAGACAGGCATATAGTAGGCCCTCAAGTAAACATTTAGTACCAGGCATTGGTGCTCTGTATAAGGTTTTCAGAGCCCTCTCTCTGCCTGTGAGTCATGAATAGTTCTTTTGACTCTTTAGAAGTTGGCAGACTCTTTCAGACTGAATCCAGGAATCTGCAAACTATGACTGGTGGACCGGCCACGTGTTTTTGTGAATCAAAGTTTCATTTGAACACAGTCAGGTCCATTCATTTGTATGTTATCTATGGCTGCTTTCCCTACAAGGGCAGAGCTGAATAGAAATGACAGACCGTACGGCCTGCAAAGCCTAAAATATTTGCTCTCGGGCCCTTTACAGAGAAAGGATGTCCATCCCTGCATTTAGAATCTATGTATTGCCTTTTATGACCAACGTGGAGTTAAGCTAGTGTCTAGCTAAATAACAGATGCCCATAACAAATGTTCATAGATCAGCAACTGCTCACCTGGTCATGGAAGTCTAATTCAGTGTTACAGATTCACAGGCTTGGCCAATATGTAAGTTAGCAAATGTAAGTGAGGATGATTTATATTTGCCTGGCACTTTATAGATTACAACATATATCATAAATGTTGTCTCATTTGATGTTGCCAATAACCCTGGAAAGTAAGCCAGCAGGTATTATACACTGCATATCTCAGGGTTAAAAAGAATTCAGATTCAAGTGTTTTTATCTTTTCTTTTAGCAGCTAAAATGATCCCTTCATCTCTGGAAAATGCTGACTTTGGGAAAAAAGGAGGGTGTGTGGCTTTATTAACATTTATCATCTTATGATGCACTAATTTGAGATAATATATTGGAAGATCACTTGCAATCAATTGTACTTTGTAATAATATGTCTTGTTGTCTTCAAGTCATGTTTTTATGTCAATAAGTTGGTAACAAAAATAAGATAAACATTTAATCTGATGGTTTACAAGTCAAAATAAATAAGCCTAATTGAGTTATAAGTTAAAAATACAATTTTAAATTGTTTAAATCTTAGAACTTATCACAAGATAAGTCAGTTACCTGATTTTCTTGGATTAGCAAAATTAAAAAACAAACAAACAAAACCCCCTAAAACTCTTGTAGTAACAGAGAAAAATAAGTCAGTAAAAATATAAGTGTATATCAAAAATATGAGTACATATGGGAAAAGTAGTGAAAGATTGATATAGTTTTCTGTTACAGGTCAGATGATGTTGCACTAAATATTTCAGTGGAGGTTACAAACTTTAGACCACTGTTACATTTCTTGCATCATACAAGAATTGATCTCTATGTGATCAAAAAACTTATGAGGAATTTCTAGTTGACCAAAACATTGCTGTATCCATCTTAGAACAGCATAAAAACTTAGGACAGCACACTGTATGATTCCAACTAATATGGCATCTGGAAAAGCAAAACTATGAAGGCAGTGAAATATCAGCTGTTACCAGGGGTTGGGGGATGAGAAGGATGAATAGATGGGTTTTTAGGGCAGTGAAACGGTTCTGTATGATACCCTAATAATGGATACATGTCATTACACATTTGTCCAAACCTGTAGAATGTACAACATCAAGAGTTAATCCTTATGTAAACTATGGATTTTGGGTGACGCTGTGTCAATGTAGGTTCATCAGTTGTAACAAACCCACCACTCTGGTGGGGATGTTGATAGTGGAGGAGGCTATGTATGTGTCGGGGCAGAGGAGGTATGGGAAATTTCTGTACCTTCCTCTCAGTTTTGTTGTGAATTGAGCTCTAAAATATGAAGTCGATTTAAAAAAAATTAGTACAACATTACTATATATAAAATAGATATACAGCAAGGACCTACTAGGTAGCACAGAGAACCGTATTCAAGTCCTTGTAATGAACTGTAATGGAAAAGAATCTGAATAAATATATATATATATATATATATATATATATATATATATATATATATAAAACTGAATTGCTTTGCTGTACACTTGGAACTAACATTGTAAATCAATTACATGTCAATAAAAAATAAGAAGTATTTTTTAAAAATTAGTACAATGGGCTAACAAAGGCCACAATTCTATTATCCTCCTTAGAAGCTTTATAAATGTGCGTTAAAAAACAAATTTTGTGGGGGAGGCTATAGCTCAGTGGTAGAGTGTATGTTTAGCATGCATGAGGTCTTGAGGTCAATCCTCAGTGCTTCCACTTAAAAAATAAATAAATAAACCTAATTACCACCACCCCCACCTCAAAAATAAATACATAAAAATACATTTTGAGGGGACATACTATGGCATGAATACAAGAAAAACAAAGGCCTAGAATCCTTTCAGGAGAATGGAACCAGAGCAAAATGCACTTACTTCACACCCGGATTGAGTTTCCCATGAGCATGACTCCTTCTCCGGAGAGAGAACCCCTCTTTGGAAAGCGTGGTCCCCCAGGCATGTCTGACACAAGGAAGGCTCGAAGTCTGGCTCCCCTGGCGGGATGTGGACCACTGAGGGGCCCGAGTACTTCAGGCTGGGACTCTGATGCTTGTCCACACTGACCATTGGGCTCTTGATCCATCTTCGTACCTAAAACGTGCAAAAAAAAATGCATTTTATCTCTTTTGATGTTTAATGGGGATTTGGTGATAAAATATGGTGGAATGGACACTCATGGAAAGAGTCTCACAATGTCCCTATCTGTTAAACCTTAACATAACCTGAATCGATCAGTGCTGGCCACTCATTTTCCAGGAACATATGTTTTTTGGCGGGTCATTTCACCTCACTGAATCTCTCTCCCCATCGGTAAGATTGGGGTAATAATATTTCCTGTGCAGATTTTGCAGTATTTGTTAATGTCCAAGTGTTTGCCTGCACATAGTGTTAGTAGATGGTCCCTATTTTACTTTGACTCTTATGATTTTGTTGTTAGCATGGCAGTTCACAAACATCTAAGGTGGATTGCCAGTTATTCTAACCAGAGAAAATACTAACCACATAGTTAGATTCTAATTGCTGCTAAATGAATTAACATATATTTTACTATTGCAAAAACTTGATTATAAAAGAAGTTGCTTCTGCCTAAGAAATTATCTCACTTTTTTTTTAAAGTGAAAACTTTCCACTTGTCTTGCTTGCATGTAGAATTCCTGTAAGATAGAGAAAACAATGTAAAGCTATTCCAATATTAAAAGGATAACATTTACATAGCATTTTAGTATGAAACACACTGTTCTAAGTGTTTAACATACATCATTTTGTTTAATCCTGAGAACAGTCTTACAAGATATGCACTATTATGAGTCCCACTTTGCAGATGAGAAAACAGAGGCACAGAGAAGTGAAGCAAAAGTCCCCAAGACACAATGCTGGTATCAAGCAAAGGCAGGACCCAGGCACCTTGAATCCAGCATCTATTCCTTTACAAGCATGCAGTTTTAGCAAGTGTTGGGGTGCTATAAAACTTGTCATCAAATGCTAAAAATTTATCCTGATCTAGTATGTCTTGTCCATGGTCTTTGAAACTCTTGAGGGTTCTTTTACAGTTAACCAATTGGTGAAATTAGTGTATACTAAAAGGATGAAAAGATAAAATCACAGTACTGAATTTTAGTTAGTAATGCTGACAATTAGATTTTTAAAAATACACCGAGAATAAACTAAAATTGCAACAGCAAAAGAATGTTTAAGCAATTTGATGGAATATTATGCCATCACTAAAAATAAATATTGTGAAGACTGTAGCAATATGGAAAATGTTTAGAACATAATTATATGAAAGAGATCCAAATACAGAATTGTTCAATCACTGTCATTGCAAATGTAAAAATATGTGCACTATCTATAGGCAAAGCAAGACAGTAACAGGCAAAACAGAAACTGTTGCAGCCATTGTTAGGAACACGGATGTCTTAGTTCTCCCTCTTTTTACAGTGTCTTGTTTCATTTTTTAAAGAATAATTTCTTTTAAAGTTTATAAGAATCTCAAGCAGTTAAAATCACCATATTTCTTTCTTTGATTACATATGTATCTTTTAATTGCTTTATTTATATGTACTCTTTTCCAGGCTGTTGAAAATCATCTTTTTTTTGTATTTACTATCCTAATGTTAACATGGGAGGTTTCCAACAGTATTCTTTGCACTCTATGGCCCCATAAGCATGTTAGAAGGTGCATTCAAAGTGTTTAGTTGATTCATTAATGAAAGTCTAAAAGAAAGTCTAAAAGTTTGAGATGACAATGGGAATTCTTCCTGACGGCCGTACCAAATGTGTTTTTGATCAACCTAAAAAGTACTAAATTTCATTAGAGATGGAAAAGTTTTTTTATTCTTCTTCTTTGGAGGGTTTTGAGTTTGAAGTTTGGTAATTGTTCCTTATTAGTCACCAACCTTGTGTTTTAAAATCAATCTTTTATTCTGGATTACTTTCAATGTCTCTTTTGCCATAGACTTAACTTTGGGGTGACTACGAATAGATTTTAAACAAATTTCGTCAGATGAATTTGTATGGCCTGACTGATTAAGAATTTTGATGTATTGAAATGTAAATCTTATATTCTATATGTAGAGCAAAACTCATGTAATATTGTCTTACAATTATTCAATTTATAGTGGAAACATGTCCTTTCATTAGGTTATAGAAAAAAATAAACTGATTTTATTAAGGAAGAAGAATATAAAGATATTATATCTCACTACAAAGAATACAAATGACCTATAAACTTAAATGATCTGTTGAATATTAGAAACCATAGGGATTAAGGATTTTAAAACACACAAAAAATCATATAAAGAGTTGTCATTTTATTTGCTACCCAGCTGGAAATTCTCCAAATAGTTTGGATGACCTTGAGCATAGGCTGTCAAACAACCCACAGATGTTTTTAAAGAATTTCAGAGTCAGAAGATAGCCAAAGATGTCAGTAATTTGCTCAAAGTCACACTGTAAATTATTATGTGGGAAAAAAAACTGCACCTCTTGGTTTAAGCAAATCATTGAACTAGCTTCTACTAAGGGGTAAGCGGGCACACTCAATGACTTCAGGGGCTGGTAGGAACAGGAAATGTGTACAGCCCTATGACCCGAGTATAAAACTAGGGAGCAGTAGGGATTGTGGCAAACTGGGAGTGCTTGCTTACTAAGTGCTTCTAAATTTAAATTAAAACAAACAAATAAAATGCCCAAGCACACAAACAATGCTGGCCGAATAAAACCCTAGTCAAGTCTACCCTGTGCCTTCAAGAGTCACTGCTTGACCTTTAAAGTTATTCTACCAAGTAGAAAAAGTATGAAGCAGAATTCTATGAAGAAGAAATAAAATCATTTGCTATCTTCTATCTTAAAAAAAAATCCAATGCTTTGGACATTTTAACTTTCATTCATCCATTCACCACTCATTCCTGAAGACCAGCTGTGTGTCAGGCATTGAGAATACAGCCGTTTACAGAATAGATTCCCCTAAAACCTGCCCACGTGGAGCTTGACTTATGACTAAGGGAATACATTAATTTATTAAGGGTGTTAATAAATTATTTAATAAAATAAGTAAATTATAATAAGTAAGGGGGAAAGAAAACAGAGATGAGTGATCAGGCTCATTGGGGGTGGGAGGGCTCAATTTTAATTTTATAAGAAAGGAAAGCTTCCCTGAGAAGGTGGCTTTCCAGGCAAGACCTGCGAGGTGATAAGGCTGCAGGTGATAAGGCTGTAAGACATCCAAGAGAGCTATCAAATAGGCAGCTGGATTGAGTCTGGATTTCCAGGGAAAGATTTAAGCTGTGAAGATGAATTAGAAACTTGAAACAAATAGCCACATTCTTCTGAAGTCTTCCAGAAAACTTGCCTGAATGTTCTTGTAAAGTATGTGTCTAGGTGTTAAACTGTTGTTTCTGGGGCCTTGGATTTTAGAATATATTACATTGCATGTGAATTTACTGAAATACCTGATTTAGTGAAGTCTTCTAAGAGCGGATATGTGTTTTGTGCCTTAACACCTCCCCCTGGGGGCAAGTTGTGGGTGGGGTGAGATTTCACTAGAAAAGCCCAGGATTCCAAATAACCTTCCATGAATGAACCCATTCTGAGGCCTCCGGACATGGGAGTAAGGGTACTGCCTCTCTTTCCACAGAGAATGTGGTGGCAAGGGAAATTTAGAACTACTCATTTTTCCAGAAGCATCAGGGAGAAAGGTGTTGTAAAAATAGATAGGGTAATACATTTTGTAACAGGGCGGCATTAATTGCCTGCTGCCTCTTGAAAGGCTTTCTCTCCTTTGGCTAAGTCCTCACGCTGGCTTCAGTCTGTCCCTGCCTGCTACTCCTTTACACATTTCACTGCTTCCCAGCCTCCCGGATGTTTTTTATAGGCCTGATTCATGACAGGGTTGAGGATGTGCACTTGATCTCGGGCGAGAGGCTGGACTGGGAGTGAGTACCAGGGCTCTCCCTCCGGCGCGGGACTCCGGCAAGGTACCCTCCAAAACTGCTGAGTGCACAAGGCTCCCTCTGCCCCGGAGGGAATGCAAGCCTATTGTGTCCCTCCAGGCAGTGAGCTGCTGTGCTGGAGGGAGTAGCTGACAGCCAGTGGCTTTGGGAGCCCCTCAGGGACCAGTCACAATGGCTCTCGGAAAACCGGAGCAGCTGCGTGTGTGAGAAAAATGAATGCCCGGATACAAGCCACAGGCCTGGCTCCTCGGCCACCTGGGCCTCCTGTATCCAGAGCTACATACCCATTTGTGGAGAGCCTGGTAAACAAACACAGACTGGGCAGGACATCCTCCTCACCCTGAGCAAATTGAGAACTCCCTCACTTGGGGCTTATAGAAGCCTGTTCTCCTAACAGCCTCAGACTTTTTAAGGAGCAATTACCTCCCTAGACACAGGGTCAAACAGTAAGGCCCTTCTTTTAACTGTACAGCTATTCTCACCGAGCAGTGTGCCTGCCAAATACTAAGACAATTTCTTTGCTAAAGCAGCCTGCTCCGGTTTGATTAATTTCTTTGTTTGAAAAAAAAAAATCCAAAAGCAATAATCCTTCAGACCAGAGAATCACCAGATGTGATTGAAGAGATTGGCCAGCTTCGAGGGATTTTCCGCTAGTGGTTTTTTTCCTATTATGTAAGAGTAAACAAATATTATTCTTAATTTAATATGGTCTAGCTGATAATGATATCAGCTGATGCAGAAAAATTAGAGAGCGTTCAGGTACTTATTTGTGAACTCAGAAGGTAGTGCCTGCTCCTCTCATCTTTCCTTTTGTTTTCCAGGAGTAAAGAGCTATCTTTTCCCTTAAAATCCAAGTGAACTTGATGTTGAACACAACTTCAGCAATTCCCAGAGGGGCATTTTAAAAAAAAATTATTATTTTTTTTTACTTCGAGGAAGGAGATAATCAGGCATTTATTTTTTGTGTATTTTTAATGGAGGTACTGGGGATTGAACCCAGGACCTTGTGCATGCTAGGCATGCACTCTCCCATTGAGCTATACCTCCCCCTCTCCCAGAGGGGCATTTTTTATCATAGAAAACTGACTTTGTTTCTAGGCTGCCACAATAACTTTCCATTCAGATCTAGTCAAGTGATTT